AACGAGTTTGTAACAAAATGTGGACGGATTTATTTCCAGGTTCCCTCAAGTCCAGACGGGATGAACCCGATGCCCCAGCAGAACCACTCTGTCATGACACAGATCCTCCTCTGGATCAGGACGGAATTCCTCCTGGTAAAACATTCCCTTCTGTTTAAGCCGATTTTAATCCCACCTTTTATTGCGCAACATAACAACGGCTTACTAGGCCCATTATAGGTAGAAAAACGGAGTGAATTTCATTAAAAACCCGGAAACTTTGATGTTGACCTCAGAAATCTTCTAGAAAAACTAAAATTTATGAGTTTGAAAAGTCAAATAAAAAAAATGCTAAAAAACCTGAACATTTCTGAAATTGAAAATTCAAACAAATCTCAGAAAAAAACTCAAATTCTGAGCTAAAAATCAAAATCTTTTTCCATAAAAGAAGATTTCAAAGTTTCAAACATTGGAAATTTGTTATACAAAATTTTAGATTCATTTCAAAATTTTCTACAGAAAACTTTGAAAGTCAACAATTAGCTAGAAAAATATAAAAAATTTTAAAATTTATCTTATAGGTTTTCTTGAAAGAACTTGAACTTTTTAGAGTTTAAAAGTCAGAATTCTAGAAAAAACTAAAAATGTTTAACAGATTTAAAAGTAAAAAAAAAAACTTTTTTGATTACTTTCAGACATTTCAACAAAAAGACGTCAAAATGTCTGGGTTTGAAAAGTTAAATAATGTTTTACAGAAAAACTTGAAATTTTCTGTTTGGAAAGTTTGCTAGAAAAATCTGGAATTCTTAAATTAATTTGAGAAATTTTCTAGAAAACCCCAGAAATGTCTGAGTCAGGTTTTTTAGGGAAAAGGGAAACTTAAATTATTGTATTACATAACCCTAACCCTAACCTTACCCTAACCCTAAATTATTTTGGGCTCAAATTGAAAATATAAAGAAAGACATTTTGCTTATTCTCATCCTGCTTGCTGGTTTAATAAATGAAAGCAAATTTATCAAATCTGTCAGATGATAAATGTGACCCCATTTATGAGACTTATGGTTATTAAAAGAGAACAATTTGAGTTCTACTGAATATTTTCCATTACAGAAAATGTTAATTAGTCAGTGGTCATCTGAGTTTGGGTGACAACATATTTCTGGTGTAATTATATTTCTTCCCGGTTGCCACAGGAAGCAAAGGGTTGCTGATGGAGATCGCTGTTGGTTCGCCGTCGTCTCCCGGCGCCAAACCGGCCAACCCGGCAGACCAACACTTCAAGTAGACGAAGCAAAAGAAAGACTGAGAGAAACCGTCCAGCAGACAGAAAGTTTCATTGCTTTTGCTTTGAACTGTTGATGATCACCTCTGGAAAATTTTCATTAATATCTTTAAAACGCTGGCAGCATAAAACAATAACTGGAACAATCGGCAAATTTTTCATTTAACCACCAAAATTTATTTTGCATAATTTTAAAAACATGTAAGAAACACAAATAAATAATTAAACTTATTTTTTTAAATAAGAAAATAAACATTTAATGTCTACAGTGCATTGATGCAGCATTCCTTTAGTGCAGTGTGTCAAGAGATGCACCAATCTTTTTTCATTTACGATACGATAGATACTTACAAACGACTATTAGAACCACTAAAAAAAATGGATAAATTTCTGCCCAAAAATGTCAGACATTTTTAGATTAATCTCATAAGTTTTCTGGGAAAAACTTGAAAAATTTATCATTTCAAAAGTTGAAAATTTTCTAAGAAAAACTTGGAAATTTCTGAGTTTCAAATGTTACATTTTTGAAAGAAAGAAATTCAGAAATTTTGAGAATAATCACAAAATTTTTTAGATTAATACGAGAGTAAAAAAGGAAATTTCTGAGGAATATAATTTAAAAAAAAGAAAAATGATAAAAGACTCTTAGATTAATTGTAGAAATCACCAGGTTTGAAAAGTCAAACATTTTAAGTTATGTAAGAGAAAAATATCTAAAAATTTTCTGAGTTTCCAAAGTATAAAATGTTTCACTTTTGACAAAGATTCTTAAATCCTACATTTTTGTCATTTCTGTCACTTCCTGGAGTTTGTTTACTCCAGTTGGCGATTAATTGATTGATTGTGATTAATTTAATTGGTTTCATTATTTGGTTCAGAAGTTGTGAAGCTCAACAGTGGAGATTAAAAAGTTAATTTAATCACTAATTAAACCTTCAGAACCCATAGGAACAGCTTTTCCTTCTTTCCTTTACGACAGAAACATGTAAAAACTGTTTAAAAACATTTAATATGTATTTTTTTACTGACGGTTACAGTAAAACCTGAACCGAGGGGAACCTAGTCGCTCAGAGACGGAGGTCAAAGTCGGCGGCTTTTTGTGCAGCCAGTGAACTAGAAAAACTGCAGCGTGGAAGAACAAACGCGGCGCAAAGAAAAACCTCTTTCAGCTTCATCAGGCAGAGCCGGCGCTTCGCTCTCTGTTGGTTTTTCCTCTGAATGGAGGACAGCTCTGCTTACATAAGCCTATTTTACACTCATTTGGAGAAATCCGTGCGTCAGGATTCGTCACATTGATTCACAGTTTGAGTCTGCAGGTCCCAATGCTTTTCTCCAAGTTAAAACAAAAAATGTATGTTCATTTGGAAAACAAATATTTTTTCTCCTTTATCATCGCATAATGCAGATAAAGTTGATTAATTCAGTGCTGATTCACATGTTGCTGAAAGCTGAGATGAAACGTTCTATAAACAAACTAAATCATTTTCTAAATTAAAACAAGTTATTTTTTTCTAATTATGCGAGATGCTGCATGAAGCCAAACATGACAGAAATCCAGTAAGAATAGAAAATAATTGGATAATTATCAATCTGAGCATTTTTTAGCCTGACACTCCTAAAAAAACTTGTCACTTTGCATAAAATGCTAAACTTTTAACACAACAAACAGATCTTTGTTCTCTGAAAGTGATTTTCTGACTGAAATATGTTATTTTATTCCTACTTTTATCAATGTATTACATGTTGGATCATGTTAATGTGTATGAAAAGGTTGGATTTGTCTAGTTAATCAGAAATCTTCTGACCCCCTGAATGTACAGCAACATTTGATTTTCCTTTAGCACTAATTAATAATTATTTTTTTTAATTCAATTTGAATTGTATATAAATGGATACATAAAATGCTTCAGAACATTCATCTGTGTGTAATATTTTTCTTTGTGAACTTTTCTATAACAGTAAAATTTGCTTGTAAATATGTCAAACTCAACTGAAAATGGAAATGAATTTTCATCAATAATGAATTAATTATTGTAAATTCATTCAATTATTTTATGGTTTCTTACAGCTTGTAGAAAATCTGCACAGGAAGTCCAGATTAGATCACATCTGATGGCCAATCAAAATTAAAATGTTCACAGAAATTATTTCAAAACTGCAACTCACTCATGAGTCATGAAATGGTTGGATTGAGAAATGCAGAGATTAATTAAGATCCTAGTGAATCAGGAGGTAGAGACCAGGGAGGGTATGTGATCCAAAGTACAACCGAACCAGACCCAGAACCAGAACCAGACCCAGACCCAGAACCAGAACCAGAACCAGACCCAGAACCAGACCCAGAACCAGAACCAGACCCAGACCCAGAACCAGACCCAGACCCAGAACCAGACCCAGAACCAGACCCAGACCCAGAACCAGACCCAGACCCAGACCCAGACCCAGAACCAGACCCGATTGAGTTTCAAGCTTTTTTTAAAAAGCAGTAAAATAGTTGGACGCAGGTTTCACCACATAAAACCTCAGACTTTAATATAGTTGTTTAGCAAGTCAAGATGTATTTCTAACTGCTGCTGTTAATTAGAAAACCGTTATGAATAAAATGTAAGAAAAAAGGGAGCATCACAACATATATATCGCAACAGAAATGCATGAAAGACTACAAACCTGCGATAAATTAGGACTGGTCAAAAAAACACCAAACCAACTAGTTAGCATTAGTTAGCATTAGTTAGCAATAGCCTGAACCGCCTCCAGTGGGAACGCAATGAAGATAAATGGAGGCCAAACTACAACTACAGAAAGTTCAGAGAAAAAGAAGAAGAAAAAAACTACATAGATTTGCCACAAGATTCATAATTTTGCAACAATAAATTTTGGGAACAGTATTAACTGTATGATCAACTTTAATTAAAAAAAAAACAGAATCCAAGACATTTTAAGGCCTTGATTTTAGCTACATTATTTGAACTTTTTCAGGGTGTTCCTGTAGCCGTTTTCATATTCACCAGATTGGCTGCATCTTCCTGCAGACTCTGCACATACGCAGAAATGCCAAGGCTGGAGTTTGATACAAAACTGCAGTGACAGCAGATTTACAATAAATTAGATATCTAGTTAAATCTGCTGTTGCTGCAGTTTTTAATTCATTTTTTCAAAGCACAGATATCCGATACAATCTGGAGCGTTGTGTTAGTCAGTTACACAACGTGTGGGTCGCTGAGTTCAGCCCCAGCAGGAAGTCTGCTTTTCATTGTTTGCAGTTCCTGGACCAAAGCCAGCCAACACTCCCTCTCCTCCTAAAGGTTATTCAAACTCTGTTCTCACTGGAAAAGCCGTCTGAACACCGTCTACAAACAGACCACTTTTTTTAAAAAATAAAATTAAATATTTGTACTGGATACCTGCACATAACTGTTGTGTAAGATGGATCCACATGAGCTGCACTGATAACCTGCTGCAGGACAAACTGACCGTTTCCCTCTTACTACTCTCCACTTTACATCATTTGCTGTCGTTTCAACGGCTTGTTTTTATTTAAAGGGAGTTTTTCCTCTCCACTCTTGCTTGTCCAGGAAGTGAAAGTTGTTTCCTTAGAAATTTTAATCTGAATAGTTTACTGAACTAAATGAATCATAAGTTTCGCCCAGATGATCCAGAAACTTTAAACTCTTTTTTTTTTAATGATTCTCCGCTGCAGCTCAGAGTTCGGACAGACATGGACACCGAAGCGGCGTTGGCTGCAACAGACTACTTTATTCTGTTTGCAATATAACAAGGAGACAATAAGGGTAACAAAACATGAAGGTGTGCACCACGGTGTCAATGCGACGGTGTTACAAAGCAAAACGTTACAAATGGTAACGAGCTCAGTTTCTCTTTTTTTGTTGTTTTTTAGTCATTAAAAAAATGTTAAAAAATATGAAAAAAAAAAAACGCAGCCATTACTACCACAAATATTTATTAAAAAATAAAAAAACAAAAGAAGTTGTAAATGGGATGATCTCCGTCGCCTAGCGTTGGCGGTTGGTCCGGTTCTCCCCTGGCCGGGGCTGAACAGTGGCAGGATCACGGGGAGTTGGGACTTCCTGCCTCGCTGCTTTCGCTCGCCTGCCGCTGCAGCATCATCTCCTTGGCGATGCAGGTGATCTGACCGGTCGTCACGCCGCCCGAGACCCCCGCCCTGGCAGAGGTGGAGGTCAGAAAAACGAACCTATATCACAGGAAGGCTCAGGCGGCTTCAGACTTACTTCTGCTGCGCCTCCTCGGTGAGCGGCGTCATCCCCGGCTGCTTCCCAAAGAAGAAGCTGGACCACCAATGGCCAGAATCCTGCTTAGGGAGTCCTGGAGAGACAAAGCAGCAGTTAAGCAGCGGAACCAGAGAAACCACACCCTGCTCTGCGTGGCGCAACCAGCTGCTGAGCCGAGTCAGGATGACTGAGCCGAGTCAGGATGACTGAGCAGCTCAGGGAGCAGCTCCTGCTCAGACTCTGGATCTAAACGTATGCTGCATGTTTCTCACCAGTAGGAAGTGAGCTGGATGGTGCAGCTGCTTTAAGAAAAACCTCCAGGCATAATTACAACCGAGCAGAAATGACTCAATCCTCTGTGGCAACAGCAGTAGAAACTGATGTAACGTTAGCAGAGAAACCCCAACATGTGGGAATGTTGGTTTCTAGGTGAAAGTTTAAATATCTGTAACTCCCTTGCAGTTAAAACTCTTTAAACTTTTTTTTTTGTATGTTTGTTGATGTCATGACAGAATGGTATGAGACAAAATGTGGAAAGAAACAAGACAAAAGAATGAGTTCCTCCTCTCAGCGCTAATTAGAACCAGCCAATCAGAGCCAGGAGGCGGGACTCAGTGCTGTCAATCATCTCCCTTTTACCCCATTGCTCTCTAAGCCACAACTAGCAGATCTTGTTGTGAATGCTAAGGCTAGTTAGCATAGCTACTTGTAACAGTTGAGTTCTTTCTCTGCCATTATCTATAGAAGTGAAAACATGAGGATGATTGACAGCGCTAAGCCCTTCCTCCTGACAGCAATAGTAGCTCATGGAGGAGGTGGATCATTTCAGATTATCCGTTTCATTCTGTCATAACATGGTGAGTTAAAAAAAAACAAAGCTTCTTTATAAACGTTAACCTGCAGCTTTAAGCCACATTTGAAGCCGTTTACCTGGATGGTGCGGGATGACCTCCCCACTGAACTCCGAACTGCCGCATGAGCTGCTGCTGGACGTAGAGCTGATGCGCCCTGCAGGGGGAGGTAAATGTTTATTAGTGATTAAACATACGGTGAGACGGCCAGCAGAGCCGGACGGACTCACTTCGGTAGTAGTCGGTGGTCGCGACGAGGGAACCGCCTGCTGGAATGGCTGCCATTCTTCAGGAGTTGGTCACTGATGGAAACCTAGAGCAGAAACAGACTCAGTGACTCATCTCCACTAAATGAGGCCTCACTAGAGATGAGTCATGAAACAGAAGCGCGTAGGTCCTAACAGAAATTAACTGTAACTTGTTGTGAAACACTCAAAAAGAAAATAATCCTAAATTATTGAGTCTGTTATTTTTATATTGTTGATGCTTGTACTACCATTTTCATTTTGTCGTCCACATTGAGTCGATGCTCGTCTGCAAACGTTTTTGCTCTCTTTTTAGTTATTTTGGTAGTATTGTGTTTTTATGGCTATTTTTTTTACCATTTAATTGTGTTTAAAATGTTGTAAAGTGTCCTTGGGTGTTTTGAAAGCCAAATAAAATCCATTATTATTTTCATCTCTGTACACTTTGTTCTTGCCATTGACAAGAAGTTTATACAATACAATGTGTGTGTATTTTATTTATTTTTTTGTTCTGTAGAGTAAGGTTAAAAATGGGCAAAAATAATTAAAAATGTTGCATTTTATTTTCCTAAAAATAAAGAGTTGGACAACCTGAGATTAGTTGACGATTTGATAAACTGAAAGGCTTACAATGATGACAAAACAACCTCTTGCAGTTGGGGGAATTGATGAACAATGGGGACATTTATTCATTAATGACGCACTGAGCTCCAGTTAGAACTGATCTGAATTTTTCCATTTAATCTGTTTTGACACAAAAATAACAAACAATGGCTTTATGGTCTCCAACCAAACATGAACAGGCTGTGGAGGAGCAGATTCAGGTTCTGCACCATGAACCTCATTGTTTCCATCATGACGTGTGTCACTGTTCTGCAGTGAGGAAGAGGAGGAGGAAGAACGGGGTGTTTACATTAAAAACAGTCACTGCACCAAACCGACATCTTTACATTCAACACAAACAAAAGGCAACAGCCGGTTCTGACCGGTTTCAGCCTGTAAAACACACGGAGGTCGTTTAAATTTAGCTCCTGCTTCTTGAACTATCTGGGTCAGAACAATAACCCTGAAACCTGCGGTGACCATTTTGTCCGTCTGTCACCAAACAGCCCAGCTTGATGCGAGCGTTAGAACTGAATTTAAAAAATGCGTTAACTATTAAAAAAACAACAACGGGTACCGCAACGGCAAAGGGAGAAAACAGTTTTACGTCATTCTTAGCCGCTCGCTTCCAGCCGTTAGCTCGCCTCGCCGAGGGGAACGAAGCCCTTTCCACCATTTTCTAAAAACAACTCACCTTTACTTAGCCCAGACGATGTGCTGATGTTCTGTAGCACCCAAATCAACTCAGACGGCGAGGATGGGGGGGGGGAGCAAACGCTAGGCGACGGGGCCCATTTGAAATAAGGTTTTGGGTAAATGTAACCCTCCAAGGTCCGAGAGGATGTTAACGATGCTTCTTTTCTGAGGCCGCACAGGGTGGTCGAACTTTTATACTGGGGAATGGGTGACGTCACCAAACGGAGGCGTGGCTACGGAAGCAGAAAAAAAAAAACTTCTTTCTCCCCGTTACATCATGGCTCCACACGCCCACAGCCAATCACAGCAGCGACATCCATATCCATATGTACAGGGGCGCAGCCAGGAATTTTTCATCCTATCAGATAATTAACTACCCGGTGAAAATAACTCGCAAATAGTTCAAATAATTTGTATGTATTTTTTCCTTCTTACGGATAGTTAGTGTTTATGTCATAGAAGGGACAGAATGATATCTTTGACCATGTTTGACCTGTTTTCCTTTTGTGTTTCACACATAAGTTTGCGGTCCATTTGTATCCTAAAGAAAAATTTAGAAACTTTAACTATCTCACAAATAAGATATTAAAATACATGGAAAAACCTTACAAAAACCTTGAGTTATAATAGAAAGATTGTCAGTATTAGTGATGCCGCATGAATTGACTTATACAATATTGCAAGAGATTGCAAAAGAATAGAGGGCCTCTGTAATACATTATAATTCACTATTCAATTAAAAGCAGATTTTAAAAATGAGCTAAAAGTCAAATACAGGCTTACTTTTTTATTTAAAGACACTTAAACGTAATAATATGAGATAAAATTATAACTTCTAACTTGTATAACTTTAAAATTAAATTGACTCATATTAATCATCACCTCAAAGTGATGAAAATGGCATATTTCTGAAAATTTTAATTTAATTTAGGAGAACAAGAGGGAGTAAGTTATGAGGGAAATTGAGTAGCTACAGTACCTCTTCAAACTGTCCAGTCCAGACAGAAATATGCTTTATTATCATTTGATAACAATTCTTAGTAATACATATTTTAGTTTTGTTGTGAAATTAACATAAAACAGAACCAGGGACAGAGAAACCTCCATACACTTTCTGTAATGATGCTAATTAGCATGTGGTTGCTCACCTTGTTCACTGAGAAGAGTTAGGCTGATTTGGGTGGCTATGGCTCCAGTAGATTCTGACTCATCTTAATGTGGTCAAAAAAACAGAGACAAGTTATATATACGAATATCATGCTAAACAAATATTCCTTCATTGACTAAAATGCTGGTGAAAAAGACATTAACGTTAACATGCAGCTAAGCTAACAAAGCTAAAAAGTTGATAATCACATTATTCGACCTACCTGTCTTGGTTTAAAAAAGAAAATTGAAAAAACAAAAAAAAGAAAAACATAAACACACAAATAAACGAAAGTTTTCCAAGACACAAATCGCATAAAGTACATTTAGTGTTCTCTGTTCATGAACCGTTAACTTTTCCTAACTGTCGAAATTCTTGTTGACATGGTTACCGGCATAAAATGCGTCAAAGATAGTTTGCAACTAAGAGCGCTCACTCTGTCATGTTTCTACAAAAACAATAAGACAAAGACCGTTTGCGACACAGATATCACACTTTGAAGAAAATTTTAAACAGTTCTCAGCATTAATTTAGTCATACAATTTACGATTGGATAAGAAGTGTAACTTAATTGCACTGTAATCTAATTTACAGCATATTTTATAAATATATCATAGGATATACAATATCATATCATGCTTGTTGTATTTCAACTTCCGGCGCCAGGAGAGCAACGAATGAGATTCATTAAAAATATGATTCCCAGGTTGAGTGACGAGGCAACATGAGTCATATCCGGAGCTGTTCAGCTTTTGTCCTCCATACCAATCAAAATAACTTTGCAACTACTGCCATCTTGTGGAGAAATTAATCAAATGAAATTGAAGCATGTAAAAAACAAATCTAGGGCAACAAAAGGTGGTAAATATATATCAAATATCTTATAACATTTATTTCTTACTATTAAAAGATGTACTCACCCAGATCTGAATAACCATAAGGAATATGTTCCCTCATAATTACAAGGTAAATTCAATTAAACTTCAGTTTGTTTGGAAATTATGTTATGGTGCTTCAACAAGGCAGAATAGATCGATAAAGTAAAGAAAACACACAAAAAAACAAAACATAAAATACGGAGCCAAAATTCATTTAAAGGAATGCTTTATTGATCTCTACACATATACAACAAAACCAGAGATCTTTAATTATTTCAGCATGATTTTCCAAATCTCATCACTTTCCAGTCAGAGACAAAGCCAGGACCCAAAGTGAGTAAAGCTGCACTTCCCTTGGCACCCAAAACAAAACACAAAAATAAAGGTACAACGTTCTCGTTTGGCCGTCTCCAAAAAATACAAATAAATGCAGAAAAGGTTCAGCTATCATCTAAGTCAGTGGGGAAAAAAGAGAGAAAATGTCCAACTAAATCAAATTTTTTCTCATTTGGGAAAGAAAATTCTGTAACAGATAATTCAAACATTGGCAACTTCAGCTGACGGCGTACAAATTCTCAAAAAAGAAAATATAATCTACCAAAAAAACTAAGTGTAACAAGAAAATAGACTTAAAGCAGTTTGATGAGAAGTTATGTTTCACTTAAGGGAAGAGAAAAGCTGCAGGAAAATATTTTATAAAAGTTTGTTTGAGCAAAACAAAATGAATTCCTTCTTTTAATCAGGCTCAGAAAAAAACAGATTTTCTGCATTTTTTTAGCCATTAAATTTAGTTAGTTTTTGCTAGCAGCGGCTAACTTGTGTACATTCACATTCCAGTTGACAAAAAGCAGCGTGAGATATTTCTAAATTGACACAAAAATGAAGAAAACCTGTAAAGTTTTCCTCTTATTTCAGCGAAATCTGAGCAGACGAGACGAGCAGAAACAAACCAGGTTTGGATTAATGGAGAAAATGTTGAAATTAAAACCAGTTTTTATTTTTATTCCCAGTTGCTTTGGTTTGATTAGTGTAACTAACTGAGAAAAATTGACCCACTAGTGTTTGTTTCCTGCTGTCAACCCTGATTACTACCACCAACGATATTATATAGTCATATATATTTATACATATTGATAAAAATTATGTAAAAACGTTATGCAAAGCAGTGTAAAATAGTTTATAATACAAAATGGGTGCAGTTTTTACATCTTGGGTGTATTTTGTGAGTTTTTTTAGGAGTGATGTGGCTGCTTGCAGGGTTTGTGAGGTGAGAAACACGCTGAGGCCGAAGATTTTCTCAATCAAACTGCGAAGCAAACATCTGCGTTGAAAGAGGAAACAGACAGAATATGTGCTCACGGTGTGAGAGCAGAAAAGGCGAAAGTATTAACTTTCAGTGAGGATCACAGACATTCAAAATGAAGGAAAAACTCAAAATGTTTTAGTTTCTTTTTTTGCTTTCTGGCTCAAAATTATTATTTCAATCAGAGATGATAACAGGATATACAGATCGTAGGACAAAATGCAGAGTGTTGCTGAAGGGGTCAGAGGTCAGGGCTCCATAAACAGTACAGTCTGAGGTCGTGAGGAAGATGGCAGCGAGGATGAGGAGGCGGTGCGTTCAGAAGGGCGGGTTCTCCTGAGTCGGGGTGGTGTCGGTCGGGGAGCTGACGGAGTCTCCGTTCCCTCTGGGTCCCACCACCTTATGCTGCGCAGCACCAACAGGAAGGAGGAAGACAAGAACAGGAAACAGACGAGTTTTTAATGATTGTGACGGTTTGCTGACTCAGCACTTTTGCTTCCTGTTTACAGCGACAGAGGAGAGACCCGAGTGAAGGCCGACCTACATCCTTTTTCAAATTTAACAAAATCTGCATCAAATGTTTGTGATGCAATTTTTTTATGCCGCCAATTTTAAACACATTGATAAAAGTTCCCAAAGGTTATGAAAGGTCAACCAGCCGCTCACTCTTCTTCAAATCTAAAAATTTGTGTCAGCCAACTCCGCTACGTTTGTTTGTCTATTGCTTTGAAGATATTAATAAAAGTTTAAAGGTCAGAATGTCAACCAGCTCCAATTAAAAAAAAAATGGGTCAAATGTTTGTGCTGCAAATATTTCAAGTATATTACTAAGTTTCCAGAGGTCATGAAAGGTCAACTAGCCTCTGGTTGACCTGGTGTAAAACAAACGTTTTACAGTTTTGACAAAACTGGTGTTATGTGCGGCAAAAATTTTGATTTGTGCTGCCACCATTCTAAAGATTTTATAATGTAAGTGTTTCCGGAGGTCATGAAAGGTCAACCAACATACCATAACTTGTAGTTAGTGGTAGCCACTAAAACCTGTTCATATCACCATGAAAAATTGGCTGAAAACAATTTTTTATTGACTTTTAGCATAAAAACAAGCAAAATATATAAAAATACCTGTTAAGAAAAAAAAAACATTTCAAGCTCTTAATGTTTGTCGTAAATTTTTTTACTTGCCTTCAGGTTTCCCACTTTGTCCTCAAACGACTTGAAGGTTGGAGAGTTTCTAAAGAGCAAAAACATGAAATTAATTAGAAATATCAAGTTTGATATTATAATAAATATTCAATTATCAAGCTGAAACATATACCAGGAAAATGTAAAACAAATAACAGCAGAAATAAAATGTTCCTCAAGATTAAATGCTTTTATAGGAAATACACTTACATTTGTGCTGCAAAAATATGTAAAATCATATTTTAAATGTTACAGTATATATTATAGCTTTTATTTCCTAAGAGGCATAACAGATATAATATCTTATTATTCAGAAATATAAATACAATAAATAAAATATTAACTATAAATAAAATATAAGAATCACTGTCGTACTGAAAGATTGAGAAAATATATAAAAATTAAAATAATTCATAATTAAATGGAAATAAAAATAAAATTTGTTTGAATTAATTGCAAGTACAATATATTTGATAAAATAATAAATGATAAAACATAATATCAAAACTATATCTAAATTAATTGATTAAAATCCCAAATGTGAAAAAAATAACACAGAAAATAAAATAACTAAATACTAAATATCCAAATATCTAATATAATCTCTATTAGAGGAAACAAGTTTGGTGATTAATAAAAGACGCTGTAAACATCAGGAGGAGCTCATCGGTTACTTTACCTCATGGCGGGCATACTTATGGAGTGGCGAATGGAATAGTTGCTACTTTGAAAGCATTAATGGAAGGAGAAAATCCAAGAGTTACACAGCGAAGCAAAGAGCAACACAGAGATTAAAATGCCTCCAACTTTAAATAATATCCTGATCTCAACCAACATTATCCTTACCTAAAGGAGTTAGAGAAAGGCAGAGCTCTGCAATCAAACCGGGGCAGCAATAAAAACAAAAACAAAAAAAAGACGACAACGTGAGGCAACAGAAACCAGAACGGGACAAAAAACGGAAGAAACAGCAGAAAAAGGAACAGCATGCAGATCAGAGAGCAGAAGTGGTTGCTGCAGACCCAGAATCAGTAAAAAGTAAAATGAAAAACCACAGCAAATATTTAAATATTTTAAACATGTTGGCTGCTGTTTTCTGATAAGAACGGTTCAGATCTGCAAGTCGCTGCTGGTTTTAAGTAAACACCAGCCGCGGTTTCACACCAGAACCGGTTCGGTGAGATAAAAAAATAAAATAAAAACAAGACAGAAGTGAAGTGAACATGACACAACAGGGAGGAGAAACCAAACAACTTCTGCTTCTCATTTCACTCTAAAACATTAAAAACTCTGCTAATTTAAATATTTCACAACAGAAACACTTAGAAAGCAGGGGCGTCCAAACTTTTTATCGCATGGTCAAGTCATAAATAAACTGAGCATAAAAAACAAGGAAAATAGCCAATAGGAATCCAACTTCAAAATGCTTCCATGTTTTCCTTAATAGAAAAACTAAAAACATTTTACTAAATTTATTTTTACTGAAGAAAACTGAAAAAGATTTTGTGTATCCTCAGTAATCAAAACATCTTTTAGTCACTTTTTATTTGAAAAATATTTAATAAAGCCAGATTTGAGTGCAATACTGGATAAGCATCATCATATTACCCTGAAATAAAAGAAACAAACAGTTTGTGCTGAAACAAATACTTTTAATTTGTGAGTTTGTTTTATAATTATTAAACAAAACAAACCTCTGTTAGCGTTGGTGGGACAAACTTATGTCATTCAAGGACCACACAAAATCAGTCTCGGTGCTGCAAATGGCCCTTGAACCGCACTTTGGACACCCCAGACTTTAGAGTTTCATGCAGAACAAAAACTATCTGAATTATCCATCCAGGCATGCAGCAACAACGAATGTTAGAAACAGAGATGAAGAGTCTGGCTGGACGCTCGGGTGGGAAACACAAGAAAAAAATTTGAAATATTCAGTTTTAGGGTGAAATTTCCTTATTAAAGCTTTTGCCCAACTGAACAGGTATTGAACAGGTGCCAGAAAAGCTCAGAAAAATGTTACCATCTATTAATTGTCACTCACAAGTGACAATTACTAGACAAATAAATTAATTATCATCTTCCTATTTTTAAAATCCAAAATATTTCCAGAAATCTTCCTTAAGGTTTGGTGGCGGTGCTTTTAATGCTTCCGCCATTTTGATTCGAAAAGTCTCATGGTGTTAATGCGTTAAAAACGGATTAGAAGAATCCATTTAAGGTTTTTATGAATCGATATCTGACCATTCAAAGGAAAATCGAGTGGAAACGTGAAAAATGTTCCAGTTTTGTTGCCGTCGACTCGACTGTGTTTGTTGGGTTTCATCTTGGATTGCAGGAACTTTTGCTGCTGTATCAAAAACACATCCAGTAGAATATTCAGTAATATTCACAGATGTAAGCAGAGGAAACACCTTTTCTGTTCAACCAAAGTGAGCACAATTAACTAACCCACTAGAACCAACCTGCTGGGTAACGGCCACAGCAGCAGTTTAAAGTTTCGCCTCTTAACTGCTTAAAAATAAAAATAAAAAAACCCAACGGCTTGGAGTGAAAACAGGAGAGGTCACTCCTCAAGGTCGGATGTATTTCAGATATTCATCAATAATTATCAATGGACTGAAAAGAAACATTTATATCCTGAAACGTTCGTCACCCATAATTGTTTCTTGAATTTTTTACATTTTCTGTAAATTTTCCGCCAGCAGGTCAGGCCATGTCGGCCATTTTGTGTGCGTTTGTACCTCATGTCGCCCAGCCTCCTGCTGATGGCCGTGCCCAGCGTGTTGAGAGCGGCGCTCGTCTTCTGTCCCGCCTCAGAAAGAGTCTCCTGGGTCTTCTTGTATCTGCAGAAAGAGAGAACAGCGAGGATGAACAAACAAGTTGGAGCCGGAGTGTGGAAACCAAGGAAAAACTAAAATAGCAACATGGCTGACGGGAGAATGAAGCAAAATAAGGAAACAGGATGTGGAAGCTTAATGGGCAACATACATTAAAAAAATAGTTTATGTGCCATTTTGACAATTTTATTAGTTTCTTTTCTAAAATCCATGAACATTTTCTTTTTGAAAAAGAAAAACAACAGTTGCTGAACTGCTGAAATATGAAGCAGTAGCCTTCATATTTCTAACTCAATATTTATTGTCAGCTTCAGTTTTGCAGCTACTACAAATATTAATCAGGAGTGATTATGAGGGGAAGTTAAGAGTCCATCAAACTGGTTAAACATGCAAAGCATCAAAGCATGACAATACCAAGTATTAGCAAAATGCAACCAAACTTTGCTTTAGTTCAACAACTAAAATATGAACAAAGGAAAAAAGCTGCTGTGGGTTCAGCAATGAGGGTAGTTCTTCATCCACAAGATCTTCCTGTTTTATGCATCGCAGTGGACATGCACCGAAATTTATCTGATTTTTACTGAACTCAAGTCAAGCAAAGTAAGTTTTATTAGTATAGAACATTTCAGCAAAAGGCAGTTCAAATAACTTGGATGATAAAAACAAACAATAAGATGTTGAGCTACATGTTTAGTAAAAAAACTGAGTTCTCTTTTCTGATTAATTCAATGAGCAGCAAAATACAAAATTGAGAAAAATATTTCACCTTCCAATCTGGGATTAAAAGCCAAACAGAGAAATTGGTTGATGGGAGGATAACCTCAGTTACTCATGAAATTGCACAAAGTAAAGAGTGAAGCTATATCTGCATGATATGACAAACATCAGTATTGCTCAATATTGATTTCTGTTTATTCACACAAATAAATGACAGGTGAACAGCCTAAATATTTCATGCCAGCAGTCCTTTACGCCTGCAGTACAGCTCATGCTAACAGTATTTTCATTACAAATGTAGATATTCTGCTGACGTTGGAAAAAAAAAAAACTAAATTTAGCAATTGCAATGTTTCCATTAAATAAACCTGTGATAATTAGAATAACAAGTGATTAAGTTTGTTCACATGACTATTCATTAAAACCATGTCACGCCTTCATCTTCATACTGATGAAGGCATCGTCTTTTTCTTTGTAGTTTCTAGCAGTAGTAACATTCATTTGTTGACAATGTGACTCTTGGAAAAAAGAAGAAAAGAAAAAACAAACAAAGCAAAAGAACCTCAACCTAATACCAAAACTTTTTATCCTACACAACTCAACAACGTTTACACTCAGGTGAAAATGGCTGCAAACAGATGCGTAATTATACAACCATACATGTTTGAAAAGTAGAAGAGGAGACTCCTACACAATTAACAAGAATGCAGGAAGTTGTTTCTGGACGGTAAGTCAACAACAAAACACTTGTCTTTTCCTGCAGCCATACAGTTGTAAAACCAGCTGACCAAACGTGCTGGAACTTTCAATCCATTAACCATTCAAGTTTATCCAACTCTGAGTTAGGAAAAATATGATGGGTCAAGATACTTACTTGTCTAATAATTGCCTGAACTTCAATGTAGTTTTAGATAGAAAATGTCACAAACTGTGCTGGGTTACAGGAAACCGGAGTCGGAATATAATCCAAGATGTATCCTCTTGGATTCATTGATTTGTTTAAATCTTAATTCCCCAGATCTGAGCATCATCATCATCCTCAGTAACCTTCAGCATTCTGCCAAACTGCAGCTTAATAAACAGCCTAAATGAAAGTGATATGTTAGTTATTTAGAGTCCACCATCCCCGAAGCGCAACATGGCCTCCAACACCAGAACCCGAGTGAACCCAAGCTAACTACTGGACCAAATAGAAACAGAAAACAAAGCATGGACAGCAGAGAAATAATGGAGAAAAAAGATCCCAAAATGAAACTCAAAGAAACCTTAGCTCATCTACACAGCCAAACACAAACAAAAACTAAAAAGAAAGAATTAACTCACGCTTCAGAGTGGGTAATGTCATCCAAAGTGGCTGAGGCAGACAGATATCTGAAGACACAACAGCGGGATAATGACACAAGGGAAGACACAGTCATAATAAACAATAACCTGAAAAACTCTCGGTATAGATCTACATTTATATATACCTAAGAACTTTTAACAGTCATTCATTAATTTCTACCATTTATTTATTTACCCCATTAGCAGACCAAAGTATGTGAAGGCACCATGACTTTACTCTCCATTTTAAAACGGTTTCAATCTTGAAAAATAACAAACAAAACAAAAAAAATCTAATTTCCCAATAAAGCAAAGAAGTATTTGAGGATACAGCAAAATTTTCACATTTTTTTCTCACTGCCTTGAAAAATCAAAACTACTTATTAGTTGCTTATTTTAATCTCTTCATTCAATATGCAACATGTGATGCACCAATATGAAACTTTGGGCCAGTACAGGTGGCCAATATTAATATTACTGTCATAACTGATATCATATTTCACCACTCTTTTAACATGGAAAAAAAAGGTAAAATATTGTTTTATTAATTATCTTGATGATTAATTGGAAAAAAAATTTGGCACATTCCTCAGACTTAACGTGATTGTTTCAGCCCAACTAAAGTTACTACTTTCACAAGTAGTAACACATTTAGTCAATGAGTTTTTCATAATTCATAATTATCATAATTATTTACACAATCAGTTGAAGAATCGATTAATCACAATTATTCAGATAATGTTGATTGTTTCAGCCCATCTGAAGTTATTTCGTTTCACAATTACTGGACGATTATTTCAATATTCAATTAAGCACAATTAATTGGATCAATTCGATTAGTTGGATTAATTGATTCAGATTAATTAATCTTTCACAATTAGTTGATGATTATTTGAATAATCGCTTAATTACAATTAGTCCTTCAATGTTTCAGCTCTACTAAAGTTGAAGTTTCACAATTAGCTGACTGTTATTTGAATAAACGATTAATCATGAGTAATCGTTTCAGCCTTAAAGTTAAGTACCGTTCACTGCTGAGTAATGAAGTTTTTGTCTATTTTTCCTTCTTTCCTGAATACTATCAGCGTTCTGTCTTCAGATAACTGCTGGTCTTTGACTGCGTGATAAATAAACAGGCGGTTTGACCAGCTCCACGTTTCAGGAAGCTGGGAGAGCAAAGATAACAACGTGGAGCAGAACGGCTGAAAACGCAGGATGGAAAATCATTTATACTCCAATGATTCATGCTGTAGCAGATCAAAACACCAACTTATTCACTCGTTAGTGAGGAGTGATAAAATAGAACAAAAACACCATTTACTGCCTCATTTTTACGGCATAAAAACCATCGCTTTGATTCTGGTTCTGGTCCAAATACAGATGTAACGCAAGGACAAGACTAGTCTGTATGCTCTGACCTCTATTAGCACAATGCAGCTTACAGTACAGCAGCGTCACACTGGGCAGATCTGTGCTGTAATTGTTTCAGAGAAAACAGTCTGAACAGAGGAAGGGAGAACGTTGCTTATGAGCGTCTGAGCTGGACTTATTAGGGTGCTGAAGATGTGAAGACTCCACTGTGCTCTCCAACGCGACCCGCTAGAGTCAGACCGCATGGTAGAAAACATGAAGGCGATCAAAAAGCTGCTAAACGTTAAGACGAGACTTACTTCAAACTGATAGGAAAATGTGAACTTAAATACAACAAACATCAAGGCAAGAAAAGGTGTTTTTTTTAAAGTACAAGAATATAGTCAGAATGTGAGAATTAATTTGTAACATTACAAAAAGTCGTACGATAAAAGTCCTAATAATACAAGGCTAAACTTGTAGCAACATGACAAGTTCGTGATAAGAGAATCAAGTCATAACAGGAAAACTAAGTTTGAATAATACCAGGATAATGTTGGAAAAACGCTAAGATGACGTCAGAATAAGGCTAGAATTAATTAATACAGGAATAAAGTCATAATGTTAGGAGCATGACGTAGCACTCCATACAGTTAAACTGAAAAATGTTGAGCATCTTCATGTCATACTTTGGCATCAGTTTTAATAATAAGAAAGTCTTTAAGTCAAGTCATCAAGTCATCCTTTGCAGCAGGACTTTGAAACGATTGTGCAAACCAGAGTCCATGTCAACAAAAGAACCAAACAACAACAGATCTTGATACCTCTATCCAAGCTTTTCTTTTTTCCAACATTCTTCTGGTAATAGTGAATATTTTCAACTAATACTACAACTTTCTTCTCTTAATTAAAAAAATAACTGTTGTAGCAGTGTGATTTTTCTTTACATTTGCACCCCTACTTATTAGTTGCTTATTTTAATCTCTTCACTCAGTTGTTATAAAAAATCCTAAACTACAACATGAGAATTAAGAAAAAAATTGTGATATTTTGTCCTTACTTTTCAACCCTATAAATAATAACTATTTAATCACAGAGTTTTTATGACGAGTGCTCTGTGAATTTCTCGTTGCTGTTTTTATTTGGTTCTTTTGGCATTCCATAGCCACATTTCCCTCCTCTTCCTCATCTGTCATTCTGCATCTCGCATTCTTTTCCTCTCGTCCCAGTTAGTCCAGTCTGCGCGTCCTGTCTGGTCACTGGGACCAGCGAGGAAGGGAGGGAGGTCGCTGGGGAACAATGTGTCAGAGACACAGACACATTTTCCTGCACTGGGTGGGTGTGTGTGTGTGTGTGTGTATGTGTGTGTGTGTTAAATAAAGAGCTTCATGTCTGCCTGCTTCTCCTGTCCTACATTTTTCACCAAACAGACACAATCCACAATTATCTCAACAGCAAACAAAGAAAACTCGGCCATCTTGGCTTCAGGGTGCAACCACAGAGCAAGAGCAGCCACCATCACCAACACCATCACCTGCTGGTGTTGGTGGCTGCATGTTAAAACAGAGACCGGACCAGTTAGCTACATCCTGTCTACCAGAGTAAAGCTGGTCCATCCAGTTCATTAGCAAGTCAGGGAGATAAACTCAACATTTAAACCAGGTTGGCAAAACCATCAGCTGAAAAGTACATTTTTAAAACTTAAATCACTAAATTTTTTTTGCTGTTTTTACCTACTCATCAATAAGCATTAACTATTTTAATCAAACAAAATAAACATATTTTTTGTAGGAGTGGAATTGTAAATTCAAAACTTCTAATCAAGTTTGCAATTTTTTTTCTTGCTAAATGAAAGGCATCCAGTTTGCTTATTATTCTGGGCTAAAATTATAAAAACTGAATAAATATCTAATTTATTCTCGGCATTAAAAAATGGATCTTCATTGTTAATACAACAAACAGCTTATCTTTATCTTTATTTGAAAACGCTTGCTGTATTTAGCCGACTTTGAATAGATTAATTTGAAGATTTTTGTGCACCAAGGTGCGTTTTACAGTCAAGAAGTAGATGTGGTTCAAGTTGCCATAACAAGGAAGCCAGAAAGCTTGAAATGTAAATTTTAATTTCAATAAAGTTTGTTGGTTGCACAAAATCAGTCCAAGGGCTACAAATGGCCCCCAAGCCTCACTTTGAACACCCTTTGTTTTTAAAAAGGTTTTTCAGTTGGGACATGACGCAGCATTTGGACTTTAGCATCAAGCTAAGATGGTCCTGTTCTCCTTCATGCCTCTCAAAGGTTTTCCTCTGTCCTGATAAACAGGGTGTCCAAACACTCACTGTAACTCCCTAAAGACAAACTCGCCTTTATGCCGCCCTCCTTGCATAAATCACACCGAGACGTGAAGAATGCGTCTCAGCTCCGACCAGAACCGACCTCAAATTCTGCAGATTCTGACCGTTTGTTGTAAATGCTGCAGGAAATCCCCCCACACCAAAATAAAAAAAAAAAAACTAGTGAAAAAGCCATTTAGCATCTTAAATTGGGTTCTATTTGAGTTTGAACATGAAAAAAAGAAATAAAATTTGATCTTCAGCTTTGTCCGGCCAACAGAACCAGAACTGGTACCATTGGTTTTTTTTCTTGTTTGCTTAAAGGTCCTCATTGACTCTACCGAGCATTACAATGAAAATAATATTTTTACAAAAAATGTAAGACATGAAGGATACTTCAGTTGAAAACATCAAAGTATCTCAGAAAAGTCGTCATGGATTGTGAAGCTGTTTTCTGAAAGAATTTTCAGTAGCAGTCAATCTTGCAACGTCTCTGAAGAAGCCTCTGATGGAAGTGTGGTGCTATGATATGCTAACAGCTCCATTTACAGGCAGCAGAGATGATGTTAAACAGTATGACATCATCAGTTGTTGGGAAGCTCTGCTAATCCACCACCTTCACTTTTGCTACTTTAAATCTGAGAGATGTTGGAGTAGGGGATTTGATCTTTGCCCATCATTACCCTTCACATCCATAAAACCTTTTCATGTCCTCTGAGATTTGAGCTCCTGTTTGTAGCTCTGAGCTACTGAGATGCTAATCAGCTGCTTCTAGTTGCCTTAGTTACTAACCATAACTTTCCAAAAGTAAAACACTCAAAAGCGAAGGGGATATCTGTCCAAACACGCAACACCTCAACCAAAACCTTCATGAACAAACGTCTGCAAAACAAACAAATTAGAGGAAAACGTGAGCAATCAGATTGACTGCAGTTGGATGCATTAAAATTGGGAAATAAATTTTCGCTCGCAGTGATGACTCAAAGGCCGCAATCAGATTGGAAAAACACCGTCTGCAACCAGAACTGAGAGGCAGAAGCTGAAAATATCCCCAGTTTGTCCAGAGAGGAAAGAGAAGGAAACATGCCTTCAATCTAAGAGGAAGAGCCAACAGCTGATCCAGAGAGAGGAAGTCATCTGCTGATACAACAAGACAAACAACTGATTCACACTAAAGGGTCCAGAGATGCTCCTGAACCACAGCACATCGAGCCTTAATGGGTGAATTAATGGGTGAAAAACGAGTCGGATATGAACCTATTATTAGAACTGTAAGAAGAAAGAATCTCACTTTCGTTATACAAGTCGAACCAAATGTTCAAGAGAATCATCAGAAGAGCAGATCCAAAGTCAGACTGTCACACTTAAAGCTGCATTTTCTTACAAACAAAATCAGCAGATTGAAGCAGTTATAGTGGAGGCTTCACGTAAACGAACAAATCCACACCAACTCTATAACACCCGGTGTTAAACAGCAGCCATTGCAAACATGGTTAGGAGGTGAGAGGAGTGAGGCACTGGGGGTGAGTCGGAGCGTGAGAGAGCAAACAGCGGCGCCCAGACGAGCAGCAAACAGTTGGTGAAACTCACAGATCTGAACTGGTCACCCTTTCATTCCACTCGCCCAGTTTCTCTGTGGTTCTCATGTAGCTAGAAACAGAAACGGGAGCGTGTTACGCCGCCGACGTCCAGCAGGGGGCCACAGCTAAGCTAAAGCTGCGTCGCCACGAACAGTTCAAGTCCGAAACGATGCAAATCGACTTTCTGACAGAAGGAGTTAAAGCGTACGGAGTCAAATCTTTAGTCTGAACTCATCTGAAAGATGTTGGCAATATTTCCAAAGAGTGAAGATTAACTAACATTGTTTATCCAAATGCATCCAGATGATAAACAACAGATAAGAAAATCTTGCAATGGAGATAATATTGGGAAATTATGTGATTTTCCATACATTGAGAAATATTGCTATAATAATATCCCAATGATAATTCCCAATATGTTGGGAATTATTGCATGACTAGAATGTTGGAAAATATTGCGATGGCAATAATATCGGGAAATATTGTGAGAATGATAATGTTGGGAAATTTGCAATATCAATATTATTGAAAGATATTGCTATGGCAATAAAATTTAAAAATACTGGTGAATATTGAGCTGACAATATTGGTAAGTACTGCAACAACAATAATATTGAGAAATATTGCAATGACACTATAATTTGTGATATATGCCTGTCGTCATCTTTAATCTCTTGCTAATCTGTGCTTCCAACTCTGTCTGACCTTCAGTATTTTTAGCAACATCATTAATGTCCAGGGTGAAAAATATAACTTCAGAACTCATAAAATAAATTAGGCAACAATTCTAGTTCTCCAAATTGGCTTAAGACCATGGAGCCAGACTGTAATAGTGCAGAAATATTCTCCAACAGCTGCACAGGAAGTCAAAGGTTTCAACTTTAATACATAAAAAAAATTTTCCAGGAAAATAATAAATGCTGAAAAGCAATATTCTCATACTGAAATAACTTCAGCGCTTTTATTCTCGAGAGGAAATCCTGTTTAAAGGAGAGGTAGGGATTCAAATGATCCTTCTGCAAACAACACAAATACTTTCTGGGTTTATGCGCTGAACCCTGTGGGACCAGAACCAGAGAGGTGACCGGTTTACTGGTACGTACGCTTGTGAGGTCTGGACGTCCTGCCAGCTCTTGGTGATGTTCTGCTTGAGCTCGTTGAGCGGACTGAGGCCCAGTTTCCTCTTCAGCTCCGAGGAGTGCCTCTCTTTAGCGGACAGAACTGGCGCAGCGTGTTGATCTCCTCCTCCACCTGAATCAGAACCGCACAGTTCAGCCTGCAGCAGCTCCTCTCTTAGAACCAATCAATCAATCAAATTTTATTTGTATACCACATTTCAGCAAGGAATTTCAAAGTGCTTTACATCAAAAACACAAGAACATAAAGTCATGCAACATATAATAGACAATACATTGTTACATATTACATTTCAAAAACAATTCTAAACAGGTGTGTTTTTAATTGCGATTTAAAGGAAGTCAGGGTTTCCGCTGTTTTACAGTTTTCTGGAAGTTTGTTCCAAATTTTTGGTGCATAGATGCTGAAAGCTGCTTCTCCTGTCTTGATTCTGGTTCTGGATGCAGACCAGAACCAGAAGACCTGAGAGTCTGGAAGGTTGACACAACAACAGCAGATCTTTGATGTATTGTCACCTGGTGACATCGTAATGTAGAGCTGTGTGTCATCTGCATAGTTATGGTAGCTAATATTATTTCCTGTTATGACCTGAGCTAGTGGGAGAATATAAATATTAAATAAGAGGGGTCCTAAGATTGAACCTTGGGGTACCCCAGACACTAAACCCTAAAAACCACTTTGACTGAACTTCTTTTAAACGTTAACAGATTTTCACCAGAACCAGAACCTGCTGTGCCTGTGGATCAGATTGTGGAAATAATGTTGAATTTTAGCCAAAAAGGCTTTTAGACATTAATTAACCCCAACACTCATAACTGGGGCTGCAACTAATGATTATTTGAGTAATCTATTAGTCTATCCATTATTTTGACAACCGGATAAAACAAAATTTCACATTTTGCACATCTTTAATTTAAACATTAAAAATTCATTAAAAGATGCAAAACAAAGAATTTGATTCCTTTTTTAAAATAATAAAAGAATTTAATACCATGGTATTCATTAGTCCAGACCTCACAAGCATACCTAATATTTGTTTGATATTTTAATATTTCTAGCATCAACATGTGAAAAGATGCACCTTTTCTGCTTGACTCTAATATCAGCAGAAGGAGATTAATGGGAGAGTTTGTTTTTGTTTAATTACTTAGCCCTTGTTTTTTCATCAAATGGCATATTTAAAAGATAGTATACTCCAATTAATGAGCAATTAATTACTAAATTAGTTGACAATAACAGCTGAATAAATACCAAAAATATATTTAAATGGCAGTGGAAGACTAATCTGTTGATTATCTTTTCAAATAATCAAAAAAATAATAGGATAGCAAAACGTACTTAGCAGGAGAAACTGGTGAAGCTAAAACTATGCTACTTTACTTACAAACACAAGTTGTTTTTGTTTTTAAATGCAAAATGTTTATATTTTTGTACAGTTTACTCATCGCGCTGAGGATGTTATTTTTTGAGCAAATACATATTTTACAGTTGGTATAATGCAGTTAACTATTTACTAAATTAGTAGACAATCATTTCAGTAATCGATTCATTACGATTAATCTGATTAATTATCTTATTTTCCATAAAAGCAAAAGGAAACCAGAAACTTTGGAAAAGATGATCATTTTGTGTTACATCTTCTATTTCTCTAAGCAGATTCTAATTTAAAACTTGCAGTTTTGTCCTTTTTTGCTCTTGAATTGTGGTCAGGGGGCCACAAGTGGCCCGCGACCCCTACTTTGGGCACCATTGTGGTAATTGGTCCCTGACCTTCGTCAGTTCGAGGCGGAGCTCCTCGGCCTCTTCCTCCGTCAGGCCGGGCGGGAGAGGGAGCGCCGAGTTCGCCATCGCGCCCTCCGCCTGAACGTCGGCCATGTTGTCTGAGCGATCCATGTTGTCTGAGCGATCCATGTTGTCTGAGCGATCCATGCTGTTGCCTTTGTTAGGAGAGTTCAGGTTGATATCTGCAGCAATGGATGATGGAAAAAAGATTAGAAAACATTACAGAGAGAGTAAAATTTAAAGGATCCAGATGTTCTTCATTCACATTTATAAAGGAAACTACATTAAGAGAGGAGTTTACATTACTGCTGAAACGATTAATCGTGATTAATTGATTACTGATTTAACTCACAGTTGAAGGAAATGCTCTCTATTCATGTTTTTAAGGCCACTCTTAATCAGTCTGTAAATAAGGTATTTTTTAAATGCTTTGATTAATATAATGATGTATTTTAGTCCTATTTTTGCATTGATGTTATTTTTATTTTATTGTTTTGTATTTTAATCAGGTGTTGATATCCATAGTTTTGAGTTGTAATTGTGTGTTGCTGCCAGTCTTGGTGAGAAATCTTTAACCTTAATGAGACATATCTGGATTAAATAAAAATATATAATAAGTATTATATACAAATATTACGAAATAATCGTCAACTAAATTGATTAATCATTAAGTGGTTTACGCAGCTAAAAATAAGTCATTTCAGAGGATTAATTAAACAAAAAATATATATACATTTTGCATTTTTGATAAAAATACCTTTGTCTGTAAATATATTTGAGCCAAAACTCCTCAAGTGGCAGTTTTAGCTTCACTGGTTCAAACAAGCTAAAATGTTTATTTTCTTAATTAGGAAAGGAATTGAATTAGTTTATTTTAATCTTCAAATATACTGCATGAAAAGGCTTCTGTGGTTAAATGAAAAATCTGATGAATCGATTAATCATCAGAATAATCGACAGATTAATTATTTACTAGAGTAATCGCTAGTTGAAGCCTTAATGAACAAATTAATTATTTATTAATTAAGAGCTTGAAACTGTAAGTGTGTACTGATTAGGATTCCTTAACCTTAAATAACTGAGTCCAGGATTCCTGCAGTGCAAGCATGCAGGTCTGATAGCTGCTCTACAAAACTGAATAAGTGTCGAGTCATTTACCTGAAGACTAATGTTAGCAGCTTTGACTGAGTCAGAAAGGAGAACATACGTCTCCAATAAACGTAAAACGACATCAAAATGGGCTTCAGGCAGATGCAATCTGCACAACACAACCAAATGTTAATGTAACATAAAAACAAGAAGACTGAACTAGAGATTCTGGGAAAATGGTGGCCATTAATTAAAGTTCTTCAACAAATCCAATGAGAGTTAGAGTTTCAGATGTTACTCCGATAAATGATAATATCGTTGTTTTAAGACCATTTTCAAGTCATGTAAATGGTAGTGGCACAATAATAATGCAAGAACTATAAATTCTAATGAACATTTAACAGTGGAACTGGAAGACATTTTAAATATTCTATATAAATAAACAAAAACAAAAGAAACATCAAATAAAATGAAATAATAAGTCTCAAAACAGGCTGGCTGAGACCAAAACAACAAAGTGAAGACTTTTATCATTCAATTTTAGGCAGAAATCCTACAAATGGACACGTTTGAGCTTCTTTTAATTTATCTTGAGATCAATTGATTTATTGTGTCGAGGCTAAACCAGCTGGAGATTTTCTGAGGTTGGGAAATGACAGGATTATCTGCAGACAGCTCAGTAATCTAACAGTTTGACAGCAAACAGTGACTCCACCTGTAAGGTACACAGGCGTCACCAGCCCAGACAGCAAAAAACCCGACAAAAACAAAAATTAAAACACAGAAGAACACGGATCCAGGAACATTAAAACCCATTGTTTTAACAATTTCCTTTTTGTTCCAGTAAGCTGACCAGTTAAATTTATGCTAAATCTGTAAATAGGTGAACTTGTTTGGCAGCAGACTAACCTGTCTGCAAACTCTGAGGTATGACGCAAGTGAGGTCATCCTCCACACCCACTGAACGCCACGTTCTTCCACGTTCTGTTTTTTATGCTCCAGTAGCAGCCAGTCATCCAACGAATCAGAAGAAGCCTCTGACTGAAGACTGTTGCTCTATCAAAGCAGAGACGATACTCAACAGCAACATCTGGATGCCACTATCAGTTATTAGCTAGCTCTACTAATCCACCTCCTTATCTTTTTGCCAGCCCTCTTTAATCTGTCTGAGGGATGTGGGAGTAGGGAATATGCTTTACCCTGTCACAATAAGCAATAAATCAATCAATTGCATTACTTTTTTTGTTGAAAAATCTGGATTTTGAGAAAAACAAGCAAAAACACAAAACATTTGACACCTGGTATTTGCAGCAAAGTAGTTAGCTTTCACTTTTTTCTCCGACACAAGTTCTAAACGTTGGCCTGTTTTCATTGTGAAATTTTCTGAAATGCATCTTTGGTTACAGAGGCTTCATAATCCATCTTAACAATTATTGTTTTATGAATTTATTTAGGATATTTTAAATGTTTTCCAGTTCCAGCATTAAACTTTCTTTAGAAATGAAAGTTTTTTTTAATGCTAACCAGCTATTCCCAATTGTAAAAAAAAAACCATGAAACAATAGTTACATACAACAACACTCTGAAAGTAACAAATAAATAAGACATCCTATTTATATCACCAGCCGAGAGCCCGTCAACTTTCTTAGTGGCGTTTCTAATATTTTAGATATGCAATATGAGAAAAATCACATGTTGAACAAATAAAATGGAATTACACTCCACAGAAAACTCTGCAAGATAATGAAACACAAACAGGCAGAGATCCACTGTAAACGCCTCAATTTTAAATATCAGAATTGCTTCTAGGGACAGACAAAAGTATTATTCTTCTCTCTATGCTACTTATATTGTTTGGATTTTTATCTTTATTACCAATGTACTCATTTTCTACTGGAAAAACATTTTTACAGTCCGTGGATGCAAACAATGGAAACCACTTTCAGGTGTTACTATTGAGCCAAAGTGAGCTATTTTCAGTATCAATGAGGTGTTAAAGTCAGAAGAACGAAGGCGACATAAGAGCTGACCTTTAAGAGAAAGTTGATTTTCTACGACAATGAGAGAAAAGGCTGTAAAACGGTGAGAGAGAGCAGAACGTAAAGTCGCCGCTTTGTTCATGGAACATGCTGGGAGCTTTTTTAAAAAGCTCAGAGTTCAGGTAAACAGCTCGATCATGTAGAATACGCACAGGAACATTTCTGTAATGCTAACATAAGATGCTGAGCTGATTGAAAATGTGACCTACAGTCAAGTATTGTAGTTGGAGTTAATGACACAGCAGAAAGGAAGTTTCCTCCTCTCCACACAGCAGCACCTGCTCTCAGCTTCATTCACTCATTTAACGAGATTTAGAGGCTGAAACAAGCGGATGTGTTGCAGTAATGGACACCAGTGACTCAGGTGGTTAAAACTGGGTGGAATCAGCTGATAGTCAGTGAAATCAGTGCAGGGCAGCTGCCAGCATCAGTAACTCGATCCTCCTCCTTTCTCTCCACCTGCTGTTGCTGTTCCTGTCACGGATCGGAGGGCCCGTCCGTCCTCCCCACACCCTCCCGAACTTCCCGGTCCAACAGTAAAACAACACGGAGGAAACGGTTTTTTGTTTTATTACAGGGTTCTGGATGAAAAACCGAGCTGCTCTCAACTTGTTTACGCCGTTTTTTTTCAGCCAGGCAGAGAGCTGAGTTGTGCTAACTTGCTCGGTAAGCTAACAATTACCTTGACTGGCTGGGTCCATGGCGTCAGTTCAGCAGATTCTGGGTTGTTCTGATCGGTTCTGCTTGAAGCAGGTCGATGTGTTGAGCCCCCGCCTCGGTGTGGAAACCTCCCCGACGAGAGCGACCAGCTTCCACGTAGAGAAGGACGTCGATGTGGAACAACCAGCGGAGTCAAAACAGCCCCAACCAAACAGCCAGCTCAGCCTAAGCTACTTTATGTCAAGCTAGCGGCTGCTCTGCATCTTCATCCGGTGACGTCATCTCAAAATAAAAGCATTTCCGTTGACGCTACTACTTTCTGTTATGCCGTCGAGTTAAAAGTACTTAAAAGAAATTAATATCGCCTTTGTTAAAAGAAACTTAAAAAAAGCAAATAATGTTCTGTTAATGGTTTTTCTATTATATATAGATGTTTTCAAAGCAACATAAAAAGGACGTGTCACTTTTGCTTTATATTGTGGAGTTTATTAAACTCACAATGACATTTAATTAATAAAAGATGAGAACTTTAATATTTAGAATACTTTAGTTTCTTTTTTTTTAAAGGTGATGAAGATTTGTTTTAACATTGAGCTGGCAAACCTGTTGGTGTCATTTTTGTGTCGTGGTTGAGGACCGTACAAAGTCACTTCGAGGACAACAAATGGCCCCTGGGCTGCACTTTGGGCAACCCTGATTTAAATGAATGCAAAATATTTTGTAATCAAACACAATAGAAAACGTTCAACCCAAAAACGTTAGGAAAATGTTACGTTTTTCTTTAGACCTTTAAATTATTTTTTCTGCTTCATTTAATTAAAACATTAAATGTTTTCTTGGTTCAAAGATAAAACTTTTTTTAGAATAAAATTATTTTCTGGTTTTATTTTAAAAATATTTGGATGCCTGAATTTATTTTTGCCTCCTATTGTAAAAAAATAAACAAACGACCACCTCACGCATTGTTGAAGTCAGCAAAAATAGAAAGAATTAGTCCTGGAATTTGAGAGAACAGTTTTCCTAATTTTGGTTTAAATATTTGATCCTGGCAACAACTGAGAGAGCAGCTATTAAAAAAGAGCTCTATGAAACAAAAATAATGTCAAATTTAGTGATTTTATGTATTCTGCTACTTCTTAAGGCCATTCAATTAAATTCAAAAATAATTTTTGACCCCAAACTTATATTAAATAAACCATGTGTTATTCTTTAAAATATTAAGAAAACAAAGATAAATCAGTGATTTATCTCCAGGAAGTCTCTGAAAAAACATCACCTCTCATACAAATTCAATCTAAAAACATTACTATTGCTCCTTTGAATTGGAAAGTTGTAAAAGTTTGTCCAGATTATTTTCCACACAGGAACTAAAATATTCTGACATACTGTCAAGTATAAACCCTGGTTTTACTATTTAAACATACGAGGCTAAATTTCAATGCTTTTATTTTGAAGGCGTGCCGCCCACGCCGGAAGCTACAGCCTCCAACCGTTGCAGAACCTTCGTTTCTAAAACTTTGCGTGGATAAATGACATCAGAGACATGTTATGATGGGATTTGTCTTTATATTTTAAAACATTCTGTGATTAGAAACGCGTGACTTTATGTTTTAACCCCACAAAATCTACAAAAACACGTTTAAAAACGAGCAAATCTGCTCCAAATTTGCTCTAAAGTCTCCATCCAGCAACACAAGCTAGTAAAAAAACAAAAACAAAAATGTACTGAGAGTTTTATACCAAAACCAAAGTTTGGAGCAAAACAAGAAACAATCTGCAGTTTGCAGCAAATCAAAACAGCTACGACGATAAAGAAAAAACTTCCTGTGGCACTCTGGGTTTTAAAAATGATCATGAATGAAGCAAAAGAGCCTCATTTTCTGATCCTGCTGCAGCCGAGACACAGAAACTGGATCCACCAAGAACCCGGACCAGAGGCGAGGAGGAGGATGATGAAGAGAGAGGAGAACCGGAGGAAGGACAGCTCTGGTTCTCCGTGTTCTTCTGAAAAAAAAAAAATACATAAATAAAAAAGTAAATTATTTCAAGCCATACCTGCATGGTGTTAGGGCAATTATAAATATTAAGTATTAAGATCTCAGGAAGAAAAAATAAAAGTCATAATTTAAACTTTCAAAATCATAACTATAAGATCCAGACATAATTTTGAGATAATTTTGATTTTCTAAGTCATAATTATGAGATTTAAGGTTCCAATTACTTTGCTTTAAATTTATAATTGTCATATTCACAATCAAAATGATCATATTCAGTCATAATTCTCAGATATTAATTAATAATTAAGCGATACAAAGTCATAGTTCTGATGTCCTAAGTCATATTTATGACACTTAAAGTCATAATTTTGAGATTCTCATGAACAATTATGATTTAGTCATGATTATGCCGCCTTAGAGAATCAGTCACAATTATTCAAATTAAAATTCAAGAATACTTTATTAATCCCAAAGGGAAATTTAATTGATCCTGAAAGTCGAAATTATGACTTTGCGTTGAGCTTTTATTAGTTTTTCTTTCATCCAACAGCCGCAGCCTGAAAGCAAACTGTAGTAGCGTGATTTAACCACAGGGTGTCAGTAAAGGGCATTGAAACAGCGCCGCCTGACCTGCGTGGAGGCGCCGGTTCATGTGCGTCTCTCTTCTGGGTTCACAAGTAAATAAAACAGTCGATGTAAGACCAGAACCTCAGCAGGATGACCAGCAAGGCCAACAGGTAGAAAACCAGTGTGACAATCTGGAGGGGCAACAGGATGGAAGCGTTATCAAAGCTCCAGCATCCCCAAAACGATTAATTACGAGTTTGACTGGAACTGTTAAAGATAGAAAAAAGGAAAAAGATATAAACTGACATTTTTAGATTAATCTGAAAATATTAATAGGAAAAGCTCTGACTTTTCTGAGCTTAAAAATTTGAAAGAATTTTTTGTTAATTAATATCAAAATTTCTAGAAAAAAATAGGAAGTTTCTGAGTTTGCAAAGTTGAAAATTTGAGTGGAAAAACAATTTTATTTAACAATCAAATAACTATGTTCCCTTCAGTTGTTACAAAAATGCTCTAAATGTCAAATATGACTTAAAAGAATTTTGACTGTGTCAATTAATGCCTTTAAATTGGCTCTTTGTCTCTTTAAAAACTCCAGCTCTTTCTAAAGCGCCACTTTCAGGAAGTCATCCCAATATGGCTCCTCTATTAACTCTTTCACATTTTTACCAGGTTCTTACTGAGCAGTAATGAGCTCAACAGTTCCACCAGGTGTTTGCTAATTGTTGGCTAGCTCGTCCAAAGGATCTGGGTGGGGGAGGAGCTACGTCTAGAAGGCGGGGCTAGTTCTCCCCAGGCATTTTATGCAGCTGAAATGTTGTCATGGAGATTAAATGATTTCTCAAATATGAATGAAAGAATCAAAGCAACACTCCAGGTTTGATTTTGGTGAGAGAAAAACATTAAAACATAAAGGAAAGCTAAAAAAGAGTTGATTTTAAGTTAAGATCATTTTATTAGTCTCCCAGAGAAGAAATTTATCTTGGATTGTTTATATCATACTGCATCTTTAAGAAATACTTACCAAATGCAGAGACAGCTGTTTATTACTATTTTAACAGTTTGTTAGTTTGATTTGGGCCAAAATGAGACTTATTTATCCACCCCAGGTTTACAGGGCAGGAAGTTGTTGGAGGTTTTAAGATGGTTCCTCCAGATTCAGGTTTAAGAAACAGCCGAGACGTGCTGAAGGGGGAATCCCCTGTGGCCTCGCGGCAGATCACCTGCTCTGAAACGTTACTCTTTGGCAGGGTTTCCCAGAGTGCAGCGCTAATGCTACGCTAATAGCTTTGAGCTCCGTCACCTGAAGGAAAGCTCCGTCTGACCTTCAAGAGGAGGGCAGTTATACTTAACATCAGCTCAGCGTCGGGCTGGTCTGGTGGTTATTTTTCTGGTTAACCAATAAATACTTTGAAGGCCAAAGGTGCTTAACAGGAGATTTTTTTTACAGAATTTAAACCAGGTGAAGCTAAAGCTGCTGCTTGAGTAATTCTGGCCAGATCAGATTTCTTTCTTTCATCTTAAGTTCAAAATGCTCGTATTTTTATGAATTTTTGGATTTTTTCGGTTGTTTCTTTTTCACATCACACAAGTCACATGATCAACAACAGGATTTTACTACCGGAGGAAACGACAAAGATGACAGCAGCAGCCACCCTCTACACGCCGTCATCAGCAGCCAGAGGAGCCTGTTCAGTGACAGACTGCTGCTTCCCAAGTGCCAGACCAATAGATTCAAGTCCCCCACGCCTTCAGACTGTACAACTCCTCACTGGGGGGTCGGAGGTGACACAGGACAGAGGAAGAAGGAGTAGTTTTTCTACAAATGTGAACTCCATATTTATCAGGCCAAACCATACAGTGCAATACCATATCACTGGTCAATCTATCGACCAAATTGCTATAATTTCCTTTTGTGTTGTATTTATATTCTTTGTTTTGTATTTAATTTGTATTTTTTTGTATTTTGTGTATGCTTACTGTGTGCCACATTTTTGCCTGTGAGCTGCTGGTAACTATAATTTCCTGAGGGAGTCTTCCCAAGGGATCAATAAAGTCAAGTCTAAGTCTAAGTCTAAGTAGTAGGAGGATGATGGTGCGCAGTGTTTTTTTAACAAACTTTACTGTGATTTTGATTCTGTTTCTTATTTAGTTGAAAAAAATGCAAAGCAAAATTATGTTTTCTCTACTTTAGTGGAATATTAGCAAAGTTTTAAAAACATTTTAATGGAAAAACAGCCTCTGTTCAATGGACCTCTCACTGAAGGAGCTACACCAGGACTGGTGCGGCTCGGGTCGGTTCTATAGAGAATAATACCAGAACCGGACCTGATGCCCTACCTGCGGCGTGTTCATCCCCTCCTGGTCTTTCCTCAGGTTTTCCTCTCTCACAGGCTGCTGGGCCTCGGCCCAGACATGCTCCACCTTTCTTTCCACCCTAACCTGACCCGGACCAACATCGCCGGAACCTGGACCATCAGTTTCTGGCTGCAAATGTTCTCCAGTAGACTCTAAAGAACCGGCTTCTGGGCCAGGAACTGCAGGATCTGGGTCCGCTCCCAGTTCATCAAGCTGTAATGGTTCCACTGGTGGAGAGATGAGAGGTGGAAGTGGCTCTTCAGCCGGTTCTTCCAAAGCGTGACGGTCCGGGATTAACAGCTCCTGACATAGTTCCGGTTGAGTGTTCTGGATTAAAGGTCCTTTGCTTTCTTCTGGATCTGGACTGACTTCTGGTTCTTCAC